GGGGAAAGAGTGAGAGGCCTTGGATGGAAGCCTGGTGTTCGTAGGGATCCTTGTAGAAGCTAGAGCTGCATGGGTGGCCATGGCTGCAACAACTTCCTCTGTGATGTGTGTAGTATATATCAACAACTATGTTGCATTTCCTCCTCTTGTTTTATTCTTCAGATTTTTCTAGAGCAGATTGTCAAAAAAAAAAAGAAAAAAAAGAAAATTATGGTTGCTGGGGAGTAACGGGAATGAGTGGTGAATAAGTTGTAAGAAAGGAAATCTATAGGATAAGATAATGTTTGGACCTCGATGTTTTCCAATATTTCCACTTCATATTTTGAGCCACATATTATTATTTATTATTATGGCCGCTTATTAATTTCCCAACTATGTCCCTTGTTAATAAATATTACAAATGTTTTATTTTTTCGCCTCAAGAGACGAGGGAAAAAGAAAATGTCAATACCACAATGCCTACTTTTCAATTTTCATCCATGTGTTTCTCTGTATAAACTATATAGTAAATATCTCATATTTTATACGGGAGTTTTTAAGTTTAATTAGCTTTTAATATATAGTATATAATTTAATTAAAAATTAGAATTTTTAAAAATTTAAATAAATTGAAATTAATTAAAACTAAGGAGAGAAAATTAGAATGTAAAAATATAACTGTAAAAAATATTTTTATAATATAAACAACTAAAATATATCTGAAAAGAAAATGATAAAAAAATTACAAGTATTTATTTTTGAAATTCCAAAGTTTGAGGAAAGTGACATAAAAATAATATAGTATAAGAAATTAATAATTTAATATTTTTAAAATATAAAATATTATAACCAAGATTTGAATCCTCTTTGTTAACATGGAATTTCATGCATTTTATCATGTAATTTATAATGGACAACATATGAATGGTTATTTGAATCGGAATTGTTTCTATTAACAATTGGGTGAGTGAACTGTCCTTCACTCACTAACAATTGAGGAAATTTTATAAGACTTATAACATGAGAGAAAATCTCATTTCATTCGATTAAAATTATTATAGACAATAATTTTTTATATATAACTATTTAATATAGTTACATATAAAAAATTTAAACTTGAAATTAGTAATTAAACTAAAATAAGTATCAATTGATCCACACACTCGATGACTTACTCATGCTAATTAGTATATAAATATAAAATTGCGATAAAACTCTTCAAGCACTATTCTTTTTTTCTTCCTTTTTAAATACGAGTTTAATTTTAACACATTATAAAAATATTTTAAATTTCAAATCTATTAAATAATGTAATAATTTATTATATAATAATATATTAAATTATTACATTATTCAATGAAAATAAAAGTAAAGAGATATAAGTTTGATTCTCATTGTGTCTAGGTAAATTTTTTTTGTGGATAAAAAAATCATTATTTTTAGAAATTTGAGTCACTTTTATAAATATCAAAACTCTAACCACCATCTTTTCAATTAATCACCATAACTATGTTTTATTTCCTAAAACATACCTGTTTCATAAAATAAAATAAAATAAAAACATATCTCCTTATCGTACATGAGCCGATTACCAACTTATTTGGCATAACTAAAATTTGAATTATACGACTATGTAATTGATAGGTACCCAAACACACTACAATTATACCTTTTTCATCTAATTGTAACCCTTTTGTTTGCTGTTGACTCAAATAACCTCCCAAGAGTGAAATACAGCAGATTAAGTTACTAACAAAGGACGACTAACACCATAAAATATAGATCCACAGTAGGCCATTTTCTTGTTCGCCTCAAAAGTGACAACATCCTTGTATGGAGAATCCAAAGTGAATGTTCACTATCTAGAGCAATCACCAATCCTTGATTATTAAGTGATACAAATCACAAAAGGTTAACTAGAAATTCCAGTATCATGGAAGATTTTCTGTATAAAAAGAAGTTGCTGATAGAATACAAGAAATCAACCATAAAAACAGAATGACTATTTATCCACAGTATCGGCGGACATAAACAGCACTTTGTTTATTGTTAAGAAGAAATGAAAAGATATTACAAGAAATTCAAATACATTTTGTACCAACAACATTTTTAGTGAACAGAATAATGGCCGATCCCGTACCATGACATAAAATCACAGCAACATTATCATGTGGCAGCTTCAATTTCATCAGAGTTCACAGCTACTCCATTGGAGGCCTCCTCTGACCTCAGCTGAGAAGAAACATCATCTATGGCAGCATTCAGTTGCTCAATCTTTAGAGCCAGGACTTTCCGGGTTTTCTGCAAATCAAGCAACCAAGTTTTGCTAGGCATTAGAGGAATACTCTCAATTAAACCAACATGTTGTAGCAAGTACCAAGTGTAACATAAGGGACTCCCCAGACCAAGGAGCAATTCATCACATAATATTAGGACATAATTCAAGGCAGACTTCTCCAACAGCACAACAATCATTATATAAATTTGGAATATAAGTCTAAAATAAAATTCGTATGAATTTTAAAATTAATCACACATCAGTTACCGCATCCAAGCAAAAGAAGACAGCAAGATCGCAAGTGTCCCTTATAAGACAAACATGAAGGATTGTATCAAGAGCAAGCAACTTCTCACCTCTAAAGCCTTTTCTTCATCGTATATAAACTTTGGCAATTTTCTCATTAACTCCTTCCTGTCAGTTCCAGCTAGGGCCTTGCTGATCTGTGCAAGAGTAAAATAGCAAATAATATTCAAGGTCTGGTCTGCACCATATAAATTTTACAAGAAAAATTATAATGCATATCCCATTATCTTAAAAATTTTAATGATATGTAATGAATGCCAACTACTTATAATTATGCTACATACATTGTTTTCTGTTGAAGGTATAAATAAGAGGGGTTAACCAATTTAATTTCAGTGTGTAGTCATATAATTGAAGAGTTGAAAAGCAAGACAAACATTTGAATGTATCCCATTAACCAACATCAAGCACTTGAAAAAATATACTACAGTAACAAAATACTACCTGAGGTGCATACACGCAACCAAGAGTGCCAACTATTAATCCTCCCAAGAGAAACCCACCAACAAAGACACTAGCACTGCCAGGCCTTCCACCATCACTGTAGTTGCAGAACAAGCAGTAGGTTAAATTAATAACAACTATTCATCTAACAACTTCTGTGATCAAAATGTCTTTTTAAATTCAAGAATATTTATTGTGTTCTGTTTCTCCATCTGTTAGTTGTGATTATTATTTGTGACAGTGGCTTGAAGGCTTCTAAAATGAGTACAAATATTTAAAGAGTTTAATTTTCATGCATTGTTATTGTAGAAAATTTACACCTTTAACTAGTCAGAAATCTTGTTAAGTATGACTTTTACAGTAGTTATAAAATTTTAACAAATTTATCATGCATGATCATTTATAATTGAATGACAATCATTTACACTGTTGGTGAATTTAACTTAAATTCATATTTAAAATAATACCCTTGAATCAAATATGCATTTCTTTTTTGGATAACCATATATATGTGAAGTATCTGAATTCCTGATGACTAATCTCTGCCAAAAAACCTAGCAAATAACCTTTAGTGAGGTCTCCTTTCTCAATCATGTTTTTTTTCATGTTAATTAAGTTCAAATGTAACTGACATAAAAAACTTCCCAAAAAGGTATTTCACCATGTATTTATCCCTCTCAATGTGTTCCCACTAAATAACTAAGACAAAAACTTCAGAGCTCAAACCTAATAAATAATAATGTGTATAGGAGAAAGTTGTGGCACAACAATGAAACACAGAAACCTCCATGTTTGTATAAATAAACCACTAACATTTAAGACCCTTGCTGACAGCTATTTATACATTATCAGCTTGCATCTGTACTTCTGCAGATATACTACATAAAGATTTCATAACAAAATCACAACAACAAAGAATACCTATACGTAGCTTGAATTGTTAGAGGCCTTCTGGCTATTGATGATTGCATTCTCCCTTGACGATTTAGATTTAGAGACAAGTTGTATGGTTTGATCTTGACCAGAGAGTGGTCCACCTTGTTTATGGATGATGCTAGCAAAAGTTTTTGCAAAAATAAATGAGTTGGAATATAAGATACCCGGTTAGGAAAAACATACACATAGGTGAGAGTCTAGCACTGGCATAAGTTCTTGCCACAATAGAAAAACTAATAAGCTATATATGTTCTCTTAGGTAAAAGAATAATAAATGGAGTAAAAGTGGACAAAGCGAAACTAATATTCTACAGTAATACTAATATTTGTCAACATTGCATCAAACAAGTATACACCAGTCCCCAAGAGACAAGAAACAACAAAGCAGTAAGAAGACTTGACATTAGGTAAAGAATGATTTACAGCAACAACTGAATAGATGATTTTAACAACCACCACTAGTATATCTTTGTGGCAAGTTGAAATTCAATTGTCACAGAACATGACTCTAAGAAAACCTCCAATTAAATTAATGAGGATCAAGACAGAAAAATCTCATTAAAAAAAAAGTATTTTTGATAGACAGTACAGAGTTGAGCAATCCAAGAAGATGATAACCCAATCAACAGTTAAGCAATAAAGGAAAAAATCCAACTTAAAAAAAAAAAAAAAAAAAAAAAGTTCTTTCATATGTGTACTTCTAATTCTACTGAGATCGTAAAGTCACAAAACAAAATTTATGTCAAAGGGGAATGCCCCTTAAATGGTTATGCTCCAATTTTGAAATCAAGCCGTTAAAATATATAAATCTTAGAATTAATTGAAGCATACAAAAAGAGGAACAGAGACTAAGGCAAAGAATGAATCTTGAAAAGACAAAGAGTGAATCAGTGAGGAATTACCAGATTTGGTTAAAATAAAAGAAGTAGGAACAGCAGCAGCCATGGTGATTGGTGAGAGATGGAGTTAGGTATGTGTGAATGTAAATGTGACTTTGAACTAAGAAATGAAATGAATGGGTCGATGATATCTAAGCTTGGCAGCAAATTATGATGTAAGGTATGGAAAGGTTACACTTCTCTTCTCTTTCTCTTATGTTTTTGGGTTAATTGCTAATGTTATTGCTGCCTCCTGTTCGGTTCGGACAGATACGGATATACCCACTTCTCTCTGCCGCTTCCTTTTTCTATTTTTTTCAACTTTTTTCTTAATTGCAATTTACTTTCCTTAATTAACTTAAATCATTGTTAAAAATATTAATTACAATATGACATGTGGATTCATATTTAAAAAATTGTTCAATAACATCTTAATAATAAATAAATATTGGTTTTTTTTACCGATGAAATTAGTTTTAATGATTAGGAGAAAAGAAAGAAGTTAAAATAAAAAGATTTAAATTCAATCTCATCATTTATTTCTAATCTTTCTTATGAATTAAAAAAAAATTTTAATGGATATAATTCATATGTATAGTATTTAAAAACTGATAACTAAATATTAATATGTATTCATAGAATATGATTTTTTCTAATCAAATATTAGTTTTAATATTAATAAATATCAAATTAGAGAGCACAAATTTAAACTATGAATATTAATATATTATATGTAAAAAAAATTAATATGATAAATGTTTTGATAGAATAAATTTATATTAAAAATATTAATCATACATATTTATGTGCATATGTGTACGTGTATATACGTATATTATAATTTAGAGACTTATAATAAAATTTTAGATTAATCATTAAAAAATTAAAATATAACACAGATTATCTATTGTTATTATTAAGTAGGTTGAGATTTAAGGCAAGTATTAATAATCTTCCTATCATGGCTATAATTTATAATACTCATCTAAGTATTTGAAAAATATTGGACAGTATTTTTTTTATTTTATAAAATATGTTGATATAAACATGAAGAGTTTTATAATTTAAAAAATCTTTACATATGTTACTATAATTTATCCCATATATTATTATAACATATTATCTTTATTCTCTCATAAATTATTCAAAATGATTTTTTAAAATAAATTACTTTATTTTTGAGATTTTTTTTAATAATAAAATTAGATAGGATAGTTAAATATTATGTTGGGCTAATTTGTTAATATTTTTGAATATTTGTAATAAATAGTAAATGAATCGCTAAGATAAAAAATTTATTTATGCATATGAAAAAAAATTATTAAAAGACGTAAAATTTATTTGATTTAATGTTTTAGATACAGTTGAAAACTGTTGAGCATATCAAACTTTAAAGAGCCGGAAAAAACTAGTGTAAAGCACTTGTTTTCATTTTGTCAACAATGACTAATGACTATTTATTACGGTGAAAAATCAAAATCTCTAAAAAAATAAGAGATTAATTGAACAATGGAAATCTTGTACCAAAAAATAAAGTTTAAATTCTATGTGTTTGTTTCTGAAAAGAAAAAAAAACTTCTATGTATTTATTTTTATTTAAATATTTTTAGAAAATATTATGAGTAAATTATATTTCCTTCTTATTAAAGATATAATTATTACATTAAAAATTATACTCTTGTCTCTTGACAATTTCTTATATATTTATCTTTTTTTTTTTAAAAAAAATTCCTTAAATTTTGTTATATTTTGTTACAAGAAACTATAAAGAAGAATTCGTGATGCAATTCTTGTTGTGCTTTATTTCTGTCCAGACATATATATGTATACACAGTGTTTAGGAATTGTTGCCTCAATTCTAGCTTACGAGGTAACTATTCCTAAATATAATCTGTACAGATTGTTATCCTATATTAACAGATATGACAAGATAATTATAGTAAATATGGAAGATATTAAATCAGTAATTACAGAATAGAAGATTCAGCAAGATCTCCATAATCCCGATTTCGTAAGATCTCCATAATCCCAATTTCGTAAGATCTCCATAATCCCAATACCCCCCTCAAGCTGGTGCAGATGGATTACAGATGCCCAACTTGGACAATATGCGATCAAATTGGGTCTTTCCTAAAGCTTTGGTGAAGATATCTGCCGGTTGAGCATGAGATGACACATGATGTGTACTAATAGTTCCTTGCAAAAGTTCATCACGTACAAAGTGACAGTCCATCTCGATGTGTTTGGTGCGCTCATGAAAAACAGGATTAGCAGCAATGTGTAGAGCAGCCTGATTATCACAATAAAGCTTCATAGGTCCAGAATGAGCACACCCAAGACATGATAAGAGTTCCTTCAACCATTTTAATTCACAAGTGGTAGTAGCCATAGATCGATATTCTGCTTCAGAGGAAGAGCGAGAGACCGTGTGTTGTTTCTTAGTTTTCCAAGATATAGGAGAATCACTAAGAAGAATAAACCAGCCAGTAAGAGATCTCCTAGTCAAAGGACAACTGGCCCAATCTGAATCACACCAAGCATACAACTGCGAATCACACCAAGCATACAACTGCAAATCACAGTTAGCACGTAACAAAATTCCTTGTCCAGGATTACCTTTCAAATAGCGTACAACACGTAAGGCAGCGTCCCAATGTTCTTGTCTCGGATGTTGCATGAATTGAGCAAGTGTATGCACACAATAAGAAAGTTCAGGCCTTGTAACAGACAAGTAAATCAGCCTACCAACCAACCTGCGATAACGTTCTGGATCTGGAAGAAGAGCACCTTTAGCCAAAGGTAATTGATGATGTTGATCCATAGGAAAACTAGCAGGCTTGGCTCCCAACAATCCTACTTTAGATATGATATCCAATGCATATTTGTGTTGGCACAAGAAAATGACAGTAGAGTTACGAGCCACCTCAATGCCTAAAAAGTATTTCAGCATTCCAAGATCTTTCATGTGAAAGCATACATTCAAGTATAGTTTGAAGGCTTTAATGACAACATTATCGTTTCCTGAAATTACCAAGTCATCCACGTAAACTAACACATGAAGTTGCACACGTTCACGTTGGAGAGTAAAGAGTGAATGATCAGAAGAGGATTGTGCAAATCCATAGCGTTTCAAAGCACCAGCCAATTTGGCAAACCAACATCGGGGAGCCTGTTTTAATCCATACAATGACTTGCGAAGTCTACAAACCTTACCTGAAGCTTGAGATCGAAATCCTGGAGGAAGTTTCATATACACCTCCTCTTCAAGATCCCCATGTAAGAACGCATTATGAACATCCATTTGATGAAGCTCCCATTTTCTAGCAGCTGCAACAGCTAGAAGCGTGCGCAAAGTCACCATCTTCGCTACCGAGGCAAAGGTTTCATTGTAATCAAGTCCTTCAACTTGGTTATTTCCCAATATCACGAGTCGTGCTTTAAATCTTTCAATAGAACCGTCAGAGTTATACTTGATTCGATAAACCCATTTGCACCCAATAGCTTTCTTCCCAGGTGGAAGTGGTTCCAAAGTCCAGGTCCCATTATTCTCTAATGCTTGAATTTCAGCCTGCATGGCTTGTTATTTGAAACGGGCCGTTCTAGCCACTCTTGATACCTATAAATAGAACGCTCCGGCACTCCCAAAAGTACATTTTTCACTTCTAACCTCTTTTTTCTTCTACACTCTCTAAAGACCAATGGAGAACCCAGAAGAGGGGACTAGCAAGATTTGGCTTTAGTTTCAGCTCCTGCTTATCGAGGTAAGGCGAGAGTGAGAAACCTCGCTTTGGGTGTGGGAATATATGTTGGGTAGTGGGATTGGCCCCCAATCCTATGTTTGTTGTATGCTCATGTATGAGGGGTTTTTCCCAATTATATATGTTTCTTCTATTTCTCTTCTTATATGTAAATAATTGTATGATTAGAGATCTCTGTGTGTTCTTGAGAGAACCCTATGAGAAACAGACAAAATATGAATGTTTTCTATTTTGCTATCTGATTGCTCTATTGTATTCCTTGTTGAATGTAATGTGTAAATATGTGACTAATTTTGAGAATAAATATGTTTTGATATGATTTAGAGTGCTCTATGGGTTCTTGCGGGAAACCTTATGAGAAATAGGCAAAATATGAATATTTTCTGTTTTGATTTATGATTGTTCTGTTATATTCCTTGTTTGATGAGATGTAAAAATATGTATTTAATTTTACAAATAGACGAGTTTTGATATAAATTAAAGTGCTCTGTGGAGGCTATGTGAATATGATGAGATAATGTGATATGATGATGTAATGTGAAATGTGATTGAGACATGAGATATGAAGATGTGGTAATGTAATATGATGTGAAAAGTGATAATGAGACATGATGATGTGATATGATAATGAGACATGACAATGTTATATGAGAATGCATAGAGTCTTGATTGACATGCATCATGTGCATAAATGTTTTTAAGGGTACGATAAGGAATACACTGCTAGAGAAGGCCCCCTAGTGTAAAAGCTTTGGGGATTAGTCCTTGGGGATAGCTCGGTTTGGAAGTCCCAGTCTCGCCCATTGTGTGCATGGGATGTATCGTGCACGGCTTAGCTATCCCGACGAGACTCTGGTAGTATGTCCTTCTAGTGAGAGTGCGCAAAGGGTGTGACCCGGCATGTACTCCTAGACTACTTTTCGTGTATTGCTAGCGGCAATATGCCATGTGATGTTTTACTGGCGCCACATGCATCATAATATGTAGTTTGTGTCCATACATGTGCATTTTTAATGTTATATGATAAATTGATATTTTTATGTCTTGGATGAGTGAGATGTAATGTTGTTGTTAATATCTATGTTATACCTGTCTTGTTTGTGTTTGGCTATCCGGTGTGTATTTCTACACTGAGCCAGAGTGAGATGTTTCTCACTCCTTTTTCTCTTGTGTTGTTTTCTCTAACTGTCATACAGGTTATTATCAGCATAAGGCTAAGGATGTTGGTGATGAAGCTTAGGCTTCTACGTTGAAATTTGCTCTGATAGGACATGTGACATCGGGGCATAAATAGGATTAGTTTGGGATGTTGTTTTTATTAAATTATTTTGGAAAACTTAGTTTCATTTCCTTGTAATTTCTCTACATGTTATTTGGATTAAGTTTATGAATGTGAACTATTTACCCTTATGTTGTTGGAGATTTGATTGTCTTATGTTGAAGAATTGTATTTTATTTTATTTATTTTATATAATTATTATATATGTATGTTGGGGTAGAGGATGTCACAA